CAGCAGGAGAGGAGGTCACTGTCCCAGAGGCTGGTTTGTGCTCCTCTCTCCCCAGGTGGTGTGTTATGACTATGACAGTGATGGGGGACACGACTTCATTGGGGAGCTCCAGACCTCGGTGGCCAGGATGTGTGAAGCTCAAGATGCCCTTCCAGTAAGTGCCAACATTCTTCTGGGGAAGAGCAAAGAAGGGGCTCCCTGGGGCTGGGGGTGGATTTTGGTGCTGGTACTGAGACCCTCAGCCTGTGCCAAGAAGTCAAGCCCGACCTCCTTTCTCCTCCCACCCACACCATGAGTGACCCAGGGCACTGTTGTGTAGCTAAAGCACCTGAGCTGAGGAGAGAGCCAAGTCACCCTGGGCTGACAGTCCAGCTCTGCTGAGACGTTGGAAGCAGCACCCATGGTCTGGGGGGTGCCCCATGATTTGGAGGGTCAGATGGGAAGGTGTGACGTGCTGCTGGGGCTGTGTCTGCTGCTGAGGCAGCTTGGTACCCAGGAGTGCCAGTTCCTGTGCCACTGGACACTGGTTGTGTGGCCAAAGCTGTCCCTGTATTCGTCCCAAAGAGCTGGCCAAAAGCCTTGGCAGATGCCACCTGGTTGAAGGCATCTGGTGAAGACTCCTGGCTAAGCAGAGCTTTTCACTGCCATCTTCACTAGGGTTGCCAAACCAAGAGGAGATCTTGGCTGAGATGTGGGTGTGTGTAAAACACCATGTGTGGTACAATGAGAAAAGCTTCCTGGCTGGGGAAACTGAGGCACAAAGGCATGGGGTGGCTCCTCGTGATCTGGGTCACTCTTTTGCATGCTCAAGCTGCTGAGGGTAAATAGAGAAGTGGGGACAGAGGAGCTGTGCTGCAGAGTGAGCACCACACCTGGAGAGCTTGCAGGTTGGGAGCAGCACTGTCCAGCCCAGGCTGACTGAGAGGGGGGGAAGGCTCATTGCCATCTCCAGGGCACCAGCAGGCTGGTCTGAGAAGGTCCAGGGACATCAGTGGATGGTTTGAGCAGGTCTAGGACCATCACTGTTGTGAGCGTGTCCAGGGCCATCACTGAGTGGTCTGAAGAGGTCCACGTCATCACCAGGCTGGTCTGAACAGGATGCTGAGGGAAGGGACACACTTAATACCCTCATTATTCATGTATTTGACCTGTCCCATTCTGTAGACCCCTGTAGCCTCACTGGGGTGTCTTGGTTGCCACGTGTGAGGTCCTGGACATGGAGAAAGCTCCTGGAGAGGAAAAGCAGCCTCTTCCAAAGCAGATCTTGTGCCTCTGTTTCCATCACTAAATTCTGGTGGCTCCGTGTGGTTCGTTTGTGTCTCTTCAGCACTTTGAAATGCTTGGAGGGAGGGTGGCCACAGGATGTGGCCACTGGTGGCATCTGCAGAGCCCAGCAGTGCTCTCACACTGGTGTCCCACTCGTGTGTTACAGCTGGAGCTGGAGTGCATCAACCCCAAGAAGCAGAAGAAGAAAAAGAATTACAAGAACTCTGGGATCATCATCGTCAAGTCCTGCAAAGTGAGTCCAACACCAGGATGTTTCCTTTTGCTCCTGGCAGAGCTTGGGTCTTCCTGAGGCCCCCCCACCCCTTCTCCCTGCAGCACCCTGGCACCTCCAAGCCCAGGTCCTGTGGACCATGGATAAAAGTGGGTTTTCCTTTCTGACTGGGTTCCTTTCCAGTTGGAGCATCTGATGCACCAAGTTGCTGGTGCCTCCCTGCTCCTGGGTGGCCCCAGACCCAGGAAAACATGGGCTGTGTCTGTGTGAAGCCCAGACTGGGGGTGCTTTCCAGCTGCTTGCTGCCTCCTTGGGGGCAAGGGTTGGGTGTGGGTGGGAAAGGTTCTTCCTGGGAGCTGAGGTGTTGGTGAAGTCCTCCCTTCCCATGGCAGCAGCACAGTGGGCAAAGCACCAGCTCAACCCTTCCCACCCCAGATCTGCAGGTGCTGTGACCATAGGGAGAGGATCTTCCCTTCAGTTCACCATGATGGATGCTTCCAGCTCTCAGAGATCCCTCTCCAGGCCTCCCACCCCAGCTTTGAACCAAGACATGATCCTTCTTGACCCCACATGAAGTACCAAAATGCTGCCATGGGTGATCCAAGTGGATCTTCCCATTGCTTCACCACGTGGCTGAAGGTCCCTGAAGGCCCAAGCTCAGTGACCTCTGGCTTGGGCACTTTCTGTCTGCTTATTTTTGGTCTTCTGCAGTGGTGCATGTTGATGACACAGGTTTTTGGGGGGGTTTCTTTCAGATAACCAGAGATTTCTCCTTCCTGGACTACATTCTGGGAGGCTGCCAGCTGATGTTCACTGTAAGGACTTTTGCTTCTCTTTGCCCAGTGTGTGTGAGGGTCAGACCTGGGGAGGGAGGTTCTGGGTCAGACTTGGCACCCGCTTGGGTGCTCCAGCCAGGAGCTGCCCCATTTTGCTGTTAAACTGTGTGGTTTGGAGGTTTTGAGGGGTCATTACTGTGATGTTCAGGTATGTCCAGAAGTGTGGTGGGACCTGGCTTGATGCTGGCTGAGGGTCAGGCTTGCACAAAGACCTTCTGACCCTTCACAAAATGTTACCAACTTCTTTGACCACCCTGCATTTTTTTATGGAAGCTCTCTTTATTTTGAAGCCATCTGAGAGGCTTTGGGCTGTTGATAAGATGGTTTTCTGCATTTTTAATGGCATCTCTGGGTTCTTCCAAGCTGGACCACAGCTTGTCAGGAGTTACTAATGGATGCAGAAGTGGAAGGGTTTTAATGCCTGCAAACTTGCCTGGTGCAGGCTGAGCAGAGCTGTGGGCACTGGCAGTGCTGCAGTTTGTGTTTGGTTGTTTTGTCTCAAAAACACGATGGGGGAAGAGCAGGAGGAGGAGGAAGAGTTGCCATGGGAACAGGAGCGGCTGGGAGAGCCACGGGCTGGGTGCTGGAGAGCCAGCAGAAGAGAAAACCACAGTTTGTCTGGAGATCTGCTGGTTGTTGGAGGGTTTTGCCCCCTCCTAAGGGCACCTCTGGTCCAAAACCTGGTGCTGCACTGCAGAGAGGCCTGAGGTGGGAGGAGGGCACGTCCACATGCACCCCAGTGGTCTGGGGAGGCTGCTGGTGTCCTTCCCACCGAGGGAGGTGATGGGGAGAGAAGGGCTGGAGCCTTGGAGGAGAGGGACATGTGCCCTGTCACTTGCCTCTTGCTGGGGACAGACCAGCTGCCTCCTCTGAAGCGTGTTCCCCACGTGCTGCTCTCGGTGCCGTGGGTTGTACAAGCAGGGGCTGTGCCTGCCTGACCCCCTGAGCCCCCTCCCCGTGCCTCAGTTTCCCTCTTGCTCTCTGATGGTGCCTGTGGTGGCTTGGCAGGAGCTGGGCTGGTGGGTGTGGGTGCTCCAGCAGTGAACTGCAGGTTGGTGAGGCTGCTTGGTGAAGAAATTGGGTTTTTGTAGAACCACAGGGTAGGAAAGGACCTTTAAAGATCATCTAGATCCAACCCCCTGCATGGGCAGGGACACCTCCCACCAGCCCAGGTTGCTCCAAGCCCCATCCAACCTGCCCTTCAGCACTGCCAGGGATGGGGCAGCCACAGCTTCCCTGGGCAACCTGTTTAGGGTCCCACCACCCTCATCACACAACCTCTCCTTTACCTCCAATTGAAACCACCCTCCTCTAGCTCAAAACCGTGTCCCCTTCTCCTGTCAAGCCTGTTTTACCAGCCCTCCTGACACAGGGTGGTGACACATCCTGGACTGTGGCATCTTCTTGCCTCACCCTGGCCAAGATCCCTTCTCAGCCCAGTGGCAGCTCATCCTCTCCCATTATGGATCTGGAGCCAAATCCCTGGTGAATCCCTGGAGCTCAATTTAGCCACTGGAGTTATTCTGGGGTTTGTGTTTGCTGAGCAAACAGGGCGGGCACAGTTGCCTCTTCCCAACTCTTCCTTCCCAGTCACTTCCAATTGGGTGGCTCAGCCTCTTCTGACCAGAGGTAGCTGGGGCTGAGATCAGCATTTCTACAAATGGCTTTAAATAGAAAATCTGATTGAGGAGGGAGAAAAATGTCCTGCTGACTGAGTCCCCTGAGAGCTCAGTGTAAATCAGTCCCCAGGGAAGAGCAGCTACAGGGCAAGATCTGCTTAGGGTTGTGGGTCTGTGGCCAAAGGCCTTGAGATCCAAATGCCCAGGTGGCCCTGGCTGCTTTGGTGTCCATGGGGCTTCTCAGTTCCTGAGCTAAATGCCTGGGAGATGAGCAGCAAGAGTCCTGAGCTGGAGCTGGTGGTGGCTTCAGGAGCAAGGGCTGCTCACTGGTGACACACCTGGGTGCAGCAGTGAGGGGCTTTGCCTCACCTGCTCTTTAACACCTTTTTTTTTTTTTTTAGGGAGGGTGATAAGCTGGGTTTTATTAAACTTCTGGAAAGCTTTCCAAAGAGGTTTGGGTCTTGGTGGGACGATGTGTGGAGCTGGAAGGTGACGGAGGCCGGGTGGCCAGCTCTGGGGTGGTGTCTGCTGAGGGAGAGCAGGACTGTTCTGGACTTCTCTCTTGTCCCCCAGGTTGGGATTGACTTCACAGCCTCCAATGGAAACCCACGAGACCCCTCCTCCTTGCACTACATCAACCCCATGGGGACAAACGAGTACTTGTCAGCTCTCTGGTCTGTTGGCCAGATCATCCAGGACTACGACTCGTAAGCACCAGGCCCTCCTGCCTCCAGCCTGCTGGGATGGACGTGCCTTGGGTTCCCCTCAGCCAAAGCCAGGGCTAAGGAATACCTTGGGAGAGGTGACCATATCCCTTGGGATGCAGGAGGGGGAGAGGGTGAGGAGAAGGTTTCTCCTGTTCCCCCAGAGGTGGATCATCCAACACTGGGACTGCTGGGACCCACTGCTGGTGGCAGCTGCAGAGTGGCTGCTCAGGGCTTTATTGGTGCCGAGGCAGGTGGCCTCAGCTTGCTGGTGTTTTGTCCCTGGCCACCCTGAGGTGGGCAACACGGGCCAGTATCACCTCAGCCATGAGTAGAGGAAATACAGGAGAACTCTGCTGGTCTCACTGTGCTGGCTTTTGTCACCAAAGCAGGGAGTTGATTGGTTTTTAAATGGTTCAGATCTGCAAGAGACTCAGGTGTTTGGGCAAGAGGACACTCCTGATCCCTGTGGGTGGCAAAGCTGAGCTGGACTCTTCTCTCTAAAGATCAAAAGACAGAGGGGAACATCTATTCCTCTCTGCTCAGCTCTCATGATTTTTAAAGTCTAAATGTTGCGTGGGGAGCAGGGAAGGCTGGCACCTATTTTAGCTGGCACCTATTTTAGCTGGCATCTGCTCTGGCTGGCACTGGGGCAGCTGGTGGCACCATATGAGCCTGTGTGGTGTGTGCAGGTGCTCCCATGGGTTTTTTCTTCTTCTCTTCTAGAGACAAGATGTTTCCTGCTCTGGGATTTGGTGCCCAGCTCCCACCGGACTGGAAGGTGAAATGTTGTGGCCACCTGTGTGTTTGAGATGGGTTTGTCCTGATGTTGCCTGGGCAGGAGCTTGGATCTGCCAGGAAAAAGCAGAGGGGGAATGGGTGGGAGGGGGATTTCAGCTGGTGGAGAGTGAGGTGTGGCTGGGTGGTGGCTGGGGAGGGAGCACAGGCAGCCCATCCCTCCCTTCTGAACTGTCATGAAAGCAGCAGCTTCCTGGCATTCATGAGCAGAGCCAGGAGTTGATTCCTCCTGGCAGGAGGAAGGAACAATTCTGGGCAAGGGAAGAGGCCCCTGGATGAGTGTGTCAGACAGCAGCAAATCTTTGAGCTGGATAGCCTTGACATGGGGTGGCACAGGCAGAACCTGCAAGGACAGGAGCAGAGGGGCTTTCCCAAAAGACACCCTGATGTTTTGTTGGTGTTAGGTGCCAAAGGGTACCAGGAGGACCAGGAGTATCCTGCTCCTCAGGGTGTTGGAGCATCCTGCTCCTTGGGTGGGCAGGGCTTGGCGATGCTCCTGCACCCACACAGGGCAATGGGGACCATCTTCTCACAGATAAAAAGATACCTCAGGACACCACCAGCATCTTTCTGGGTGGGTCTTTTGGCTGCTCTTGCCAAAAAGGCATTTTCTTTCAGCTCAGAAGGTTTGAGGAGTTCCAGCTTCAGGCTGGGGTTGAACCTCAACAAACCTTTTGTGTTCTCTGGGACAGGAGCTTCACCCTCAGCTGAGCTCAGCGTGGCACACAAGTCACAAGCAGCTGTGACCTTGTGTGGAAGGTTCATCCCTGCCAGTCCTCCAGGCCAGGGATGTCCTGCCTGCTCCAGCTCTGCACTTTTATCCACTCTTCCTGGCAGCCATAATTCATGTGACTCAAGCAGGAGCTCTCACTGCTTGCCAACCCCAGGAGGAGATCCCTCCATGTGCACTTGGCAGCTGATCCATCCTCCTTGGCCAGCAAATGTCTCTGGTCTGTCACTTCACCAATTTTGGAGGGAAAATCTGGGTGGGCACCTTCCAAGGACCACGAGCCAGGGATTTGTTACCTGGGAGAGGAACAGGAATGAAAAAGGCAGTGGGGACAGAAAGGGTGTGGCAGGTCGTGGTGGCCAACAGGGCTAGGGAGGGATTGTCCCCCTGTTCTCAGCACTGGTGAGGCTGCAGCCCAAACCCTCTGTTCAGTGTTGGGGCTCTTGCTAGAAAAAAGACACTGAGATGCTGGAGAGAAGGGCAGTGGAGCTGCATCCAGAGCACAAGTCTTATGAGGAGCAGCTGAGGGAGCTGGGGGTTCAGCCTGGAGACAAGGAGCGGAGGGGAGACCTGCTGGCTCTGCAGCTGCCTGGGAGGAGGTTGGAGCCAGGGGGGTCGGGCTCTGCTCCTAAGGAACAAGTGACAAACCAAGAGGAAACAATCACAACTTGCACCACAGGAGATTTAGATTGGATATTTGAAGAAACTTTTTCACTGAAAGGGTCATTAAACCCTGGCCCAGGCTGCTCAGGGAGGTGGTTGAATCCCCTTCCCTGGAGGGGTTTCAAAGCTGTGTAGATGTGGTGCTGAGGGACACGGGTGAGCACAGGGCTTGGCAGAGCTGGACTAGATGATCTTAAAGGCCTTTTCCAATCAGAACAATTCTGTGATTCTGTGCTTGGGGAGTGGGTGAATTGTCACAGCATCCCTGGATGCCATGGGAAAGGCACCACTGGGCAGGTTCCAGGTTGAGGATGCCAGGGAGGCTGAGCAAAGAGGGCTGCTCCTCCTGCACCCACCCCATGGCTGCCTCCAGCAGCCAAAATAATTCCCCGTGCTCCCTAAGTGCTACCAGGAAAACCACCTCATTTTGCTCCAGAGTGATGTCTAAGCCCATGTAAACCCCAGGGGAGAGCAGCTCTGCCTTCCCCAGGTGCTTGGCCCATGCCTGAGGGTCACCAGCCCCAACACCCAGGGTGGCCCTTGAGCTCTTGGCATCTCGGGAGCATCGCCCTGCTCCACTTGGGAGCTTCATCCCTCCCTGACTCACCTGGTCCCTGAACCATCACTCATCTCTCTTGCTTAAGGGATTTTTTGGCAATCAAGGCTCACTGAGTAGTTTCTGAGTGACACACAGATTTGTGAAGAGTTCCATGTTCTTTGGGACTACGGAGATGATCCAAGGGCTGGAGCAGCTCTGCTCTGGAGCCAGGCTGGGAGAGTTGGGGTGTTCAGCCTGGAGAAGAGAAGGCTCCAGGGAGACCTCAGAGCAGCTTCCAGTGCCTGAAGGGGCTCCAGGAAAGCTGGGGAGGGGCTTGGGACAAGGGCAGGGAGGGAGAGGACAAGGGGGAAGGGATGAAAACTGGAAGAGGGAGATTGAGGTGAGACATGAGGAGGGAATTCTGGAGTGTGAGGGTGGTGAGAGCCTGGCCCAGGTTGCCCAGGGAAGCTGTGGCTGCCCCATCCCTGGCAGTGTTGAAGGGCAGGTTGGATGGGGCTTGGAGCAGCCTGGGCTCGTCCTCCAGCCCACATGCAGAGGGTTGGAATGAGATGATCTTTAAGGTCCCTTCCAATCCAAACCAGTCTGAGAGTCCATGATTCCCAGCCAAAGCAGCAGTTCTCCATTGAAACCTGTGCCCTGCGTCCCCCTGGGGAGCAGTGTGGCCAATGATCCTCCCAGGGGGATACAGCAAAGAGTGGCTCTTGTACCTCCAGGCTGGAGTGGGAAATGGGGAAATCATTAAGAGATAAAGAGTCGTAGAAATGGCAGTTGGTGCTCCCGTTGCCATGGTTCCTGCAGCGCTTCCCAGTGCCCGGCAGAGTGAGATGTTTTGCACACAAAAGTCTCCTTGGAAATGTCAGAGAACATCTTGTGGTGTAACAGCTCCACACAGAGCCCCGAGCATTTCCCAGGAGGGAACAGAAGAGGGAAGCAGATGGGATGGTTTCTGAGGGATGAGCAAAGACAAGGCAGCAGCAGAGAGCAACAGGCTCAACATTGCAGCCCCACCAGTCACCTCAGGTTTGGGAGACAGGATCATCGAAAGGTTTGGGTGGGAAAGGACCTTTGAAGCTTCTCAGTCCAACCCCCTGCATGGGCAGGGACACCTCCCACCAGCCCAGGCTGTTCCAAGCCCCATCCAACCTGCCCTTCAACACTGCCAGGGATGGGGCAGCCACAGCTTCCCTGGGCAACCTGGGCCAGGCTCTCACCACCCTCACAGCACAGAATTTCCTCCTCATGTCTCACCTAAATCTTCCAGTTTTCATCCCTTCCCCCTTGTCCTCTCCCTCCCTGCCCTTGTCCAAAGTCCCTTGCCAGCTTTCCTGGAGCTCCTGGCCTGAAATGTTTCCAGGAATGGGGCATCTCCCACTTCTTTGGGCAACCTGGCCAGTGTCTCACCACCCTCATAGGGAAGAATTTCTTCCTAATATCTAGTCTGATGGGGTTGGCCAAAAGAAATGTCTTTGTGCCCACAGAGCTCAGTGTCTCCAGCCGAAGCTGGTGGCTTTGCTGATGTGCCACCCCCCAAGGCTTTCCCTTCATTTCTCTTGTTTTTCACATATAGGGAAACTGAGTCACGGCAGGGATCACTGGGGGGGTGGCAGAGAACCTTCTGAGGGATCAGTTCTCCAGCACGGGCTCCAGCTGAGTGTCTGCAAGGTGCATCTGTAATTCCTGATGGGCAAAGATGGACCTGCAACCATCCCCATCCAGGCCTGGCAGAGGGCCCAGCCTGGATGGACTCTGTCTCTTTGGGGTGGTTTGGAGGGGTTTCTCCAGGCAGGTGACCACCATCTGTGTGCACTTCAGTGGACTCCACAGAAACTGCTTTTCCAAGCAGAGCTGATGAGGGAATGAGATCCTGTTTGTTGTTCTTCTTTTGGGAGGTGTTTCAGCAGAGGCACAACCCAGGCAAACTCCCCAGGAGGTTTCACAAGGCTCCTGCCAGGCTGGGATCTGCTGAGGTGAGGGGCAGAGCTCCAAACCATTCCCTTGCTGCTCAGAAGAAAGAGGAACCCTTCCTTGGCACTGCGAAGTGTGGCAACGTTTTCCCTCCTCCAGAAATACTCACATGGCAGAATTTGGAATCTTTTCTTAAAAAAAACCCAAAAACAACAAAGGGAGAAGTGAGGCCTTTGCAACTGAAAATGAAGCAATGTCAGTTTGGTTGCCCCCAAATTGAGGTTTCAACAAGAAAGGGTGTGTGCAAAACAAGCAGAGTCTTGTGTGTCAGCCCCTGGGGTTGCTGGTGGCTGGAGTGTTGCTGGTTCTGCTCATCAGCCACAGAGATCCGGGCTGGTGACGTTGGCCAGCCCTGCAGCACGAGCAGGACTTTGGGTTGACCTACTTTGGTTTGGTTGCTATTTCCCACCCTGCAGCTTCTCCCAAAAATAGTTTCTGCTGCTTTCGACACAATGCCTGGTCTAATTGGGAAGTCTGAAGCAGATGTGTGTTGCCTTTGCAGCCTCAGGAGGACCTTCTGCTTCACACTGTGCTTGAGAGGACAGTCATTTGGCCAGCCTGGGGAGTACACGTGTCCCCAAGCCATCCCCTGGCTGAGCAGCTCAGCAAACCCCCACCCATCCGAGAGGGAGAAAATATCCTTGTTTTGTAACTCTTGGCACGAACAGAGCGGGAGCTTTTTGCTTCAGAGCCCTGGAGCTGGTGGCCTGAAAGCCCAAATCACCCCCTTCAACCTTCAGAGGTGCTGGGAGAGGCAGTTGCGTGTCCTTGGTGCTCCTGCTGGTCCCTTTCCTCCCTAGGGTGCTGATTGCAGGAACACCCCAGGCCCCTCAGCTGAGGGTGGGTCCCCAGTCGTGCTGCTGACCCACGCCAGCACTGGCAATGTTCATGCTGGAGGCCAAGAGTCCTCCTGACTGTCTCCTGCCTCTGCTGGCAGTGGTGGGTTCAGAGCAATGGCTGCCCAACGTTTTTGGTTCCTGTCTGCAGGTGCTTCCCATGGAAGTAGATGAGGAAGGGTTTGTGAGTCACAGTCAGCACTGCTGCTTGGTGTCTCTGGCTGGGCACATGCAGCAAACCAGGGACAGGGATGTGCAGGGATGTCTGCTGTCCTACAGGACCTCCTCATGAGAGCATCTCTCTGAGCTTGGGAGGAGGTGGTGGGAAACCTGAAGGATCTTGCACCTGGCTTGGAGGAGGGATGGTTTTTGGTCAATGAAAACCAGGTGGCCTTGCTGCCCACCTGGCCCGAGCATTCATGTCACCTCTCCTGTGCTGCCTTCCACCCTCATGATGACCCAGATGATGAAGCTCATCATCTGCTGGCTTTGGCATGGTAGCTGACCTGCCAGATCAGGTCTTCAGCCCAGCTTGCTTTGTGCCTGCTCCCTCCTGCTGTGGGAAGCCCTGTGGACCAACCTGCTCTGATAGCTGCAGAAGAATGTGTGGTGTGAGAATTTCAGGTGGCTCCATGATGGGGAGATTGGGGACCCACTCCACCCTTCAGTGCTGCTGAGCCCTTGTTTGTCTTTGCTGCTCCTTGCTGCTTGGGTAGCAGAGGCCTGGGAGGTCTTGCTGACCCAGCAGGATGGACCATAACATCTGGCACCACTGGGTCCTGCCCCAGAGGAGCATCAGCTGAGCTGACAGTGGACAACCTGCTCTGTTTGCTAATTTGGGTCTTTTCTTCTCCCCAGGTGTCCCACGAGTTTGCCATTAACTTCAACCCCACAAACCCCTTCTGTTCAGGTGAGCATCTGCCAGGGCTTTAGGGCTCCTTAGATGCTTTCAGTGTCTTCTCTCCTTCCCTCTGCAGTTCACCAGCAACATCTCAGGGATGGTCTTGTCAAGGCAGAAGTCATCAGTGAGGCAGAGCACATGCTAAGGGAGCACTGGGAGGAAAGCAGGGAAAACTGGGATGTGTGTAGGAAGGCCCAGAGTAAAATGCAGCTGGATTCCCAGAGTGTGGAATCCGCCTTTGCGTGGGTGTCTGGTGGGTCCTACCAACTGTCTGCTCCTCCAGGAAGCCTGTGAGAAACACCAGGCCTGGTTGGCAGATGGGGAACTCGGGCTGAAATGTTTCATTTGGCAGCTGAGAGCTGCTCCCAGCCCGACCTGCTCAGCTCTGGGGGCTGCCCTGGGCTCCAGATGGTCTCTGCTTTGGCCTCTGCCCCAGCAGAACGGGGCTCGGGCAGCCCCCAAACCCCAGCTGCTGCTTCATGAGAGCTGGTTGTGGACATTTGCTCTTCTGCTGCCCTTGCTTCCTACAGCTCCTCTCTGGGGCTGTGACATGTTGACTGGAGCTGATTTCTGGGGCGCAGGAGCCACCACCCTGCAGCTCCTACCAGAGAACTGGTCAATAGTGGAATTGCTCGTTTTTTCTCTGCCCGCTCTGTCCCCCTGCAACCAGCCATGGACCCTGCTCTGGTGGGAAGGGTCTCCAGGGACCTGCGGGTGCCAAAGCTGGGAGCTGCAAGGGTGCTTCTGGGGTGGCTTTGCTGCTCTCCCCAACCTCTGCCCCCTGTCAGTCTGGTGTTTGGTCATGCTCAGAGGTCCGGAGCTGCCTTTCTTTTGGCTCCTCCTCTCTGGCTGGCTCCCAAGATTTCTGCAGAACCCTGAGGAAAGCCACCTTTGACTGTGGGATCTACCAGGGCTCTCTTACCCCAGAAGGTCTGAGGACCCTTGACAAGGTGACTGACGAGCTAAGCCCTGGAACTGGGGAATTTGAGTTGAGGGGGATGAAACTTTTGGAGTTGGATGAATTTTTGGGGGGGGAAACATAAATGTGTCTTAACTTCAGCTCCCATGAAGCTTATTTGGATGTGTGGTGGGCCTGTGCTGTGGCACGGTGTAATGTCTTGCTTCTCTGCTGTCCCTGCAGGTGTGGAGGGCATTGTCCAAGCCTACTCAGCCTGCCTGCCCCACATCCGCTTCTACGGACCCACCAACTTCTCCCCCATCATCAACCACGTGGCTCGGTTTGCAGCCCAGGCCACCCAGCAGCAGGCTGCCTCTGTAAGTCTGGGAGACTCCTGGGGTGCTGGGATCCCCTGGTCATCCCCTGGGGTGGTGGGGATCCCCAGGTGTGGTGGTGATCCCCTGGTGTGACGGGAATCCCATGGTGATCCCATCAGGGTTGGTACTGCATGATCTTTAAGATCCCTTCCAACCCACACCAGTCTGGGATTCAATGATTCTGTGATGTCCAGAAGCTGCTCCTTGCTGTGGACAGGGACAGGGACACCTCCCACCAGCCCAGGTTGCTCCAAGCCCCATCCAACCTGCCCTTCAACACTGCAAGGGATGGGGCAGCCACAGCTTCCCTGGGCAACCTGGGACCAAGTTTTGCTGGCCCAAGGCAGCTCAGCTGGGCCATCAGCACCCGCAGGCAGGAGTTTCCTGGGGGTAGAAACTTTCCTGATTCCTGCCTGGAGAAGAGCTGGATCACACCCAAACCGTCCTGCCTAGGGGCACCTTTTCCAGCCTTGCCTCAACTACCATTGCTCTTCCCAGAAAGCAGGAAATACTGAATTTGCTTTAATCCAGCACAAATCCACATAGTCCCTCATTTCTCTGCCTTCTGTCTCGGTGGGGGAGGAGAAGCTCCTCAGGAGCAGACACTGATGATATGCAAATTGCACCCCTCTCTTGGCACTAACAGCTTCATCAAGGGAGATTTTAAACAATGGGCACTTAACAGCCCTGCCTAGGCTCCACGTTTGGGGTTTTTTTGGAAGCACAGAAGGTTACTGATGAGGGGGTCTCAGTCCCCGGGGGTCTTCTCCTCTCCTATCCCACCAGCCCGTGCAGCAAAGCTACCCCTGGTGCCACCAGCCCCGTAGCCACCTAGACCTGCCCTCCTCTTCCTCCTGCTCTCACTCCCGACATTTCAAACACAACCCAACCCCCCCTGTAGTTTTTCCATGGCAACGCAGATCACAACCACGGGAGCTGGCAGGGATGGGAGGACTGGGATGTGCTGGGGGGGGTGGGAGGGTTGCACATGATTTGATTCTCAGGGAATTAATCAGCTCTGGGGAATTAAATCCCACCTTTCCTGCAGGGCCCCTGCAGCCAACCCTCCCCTTTCCTTACCCCCCTGCTTAATGCTGCCCCCCGTTCCTGCTCATGAGCCTGAGCCTCTGATGGGCTGATGACTGGGAATCATCTCCAGAGCTCCTGGTGGGTTCACAGATGGGTCATTTTAACATAAAAGAGGTAACAGGGGAAGGTGCTACCGGGCTGGTGTGTCCATGGAGCCCGGGGGGCCCGGCCTGAGCCCCAGCAGCACTGGTGGTGGCTCAGCAGAGGTGACACCCCAGCCGGGGCCCAGAGGTGCCACCAGCAGCCTCTGCCAGTGACTGTTCCTCCACCACTGGCATCGATCCCTAGGGAATGTCCTGCTGCTAGAACGATGCTCCTGGGGAACCACAGCCCCCGGGGCTCACCCACCAGCAGCTCTTGTTCCCCTGGGTGTGGTGAGAAGCAGCTGGTGAGCTCTGCTCCCCCTCTTGTCCTGCAGACTTCCCAGCGTTTCTCTCTGATCTCATGGATTTCATGGCAAAAAGGGAACACAGGGAATCAGGTCTGTCTGGGTTCTTCCTTTTGACCATGGAATCACACAGTCTGAGGGGTTGCAGGGTCCTCTGAAGACCATCCAGTCCAACTCCCCTGCCAGGCAGGGGCACCAGGAGTACATCCCACGGGGGCGTTTTGCACCAATTTGTTCACAGACACGGACGGGGCGGATCAGCTTAAAAGTCATTCCCAGGATCAGCTGCTCTCCTGGAGCTTTTGCTCTTCCCCTCATCCCCTTTCTCAGACGTTCCCAGGCTCTGGCACTTGTCCTCCTTCCAGTGATGACCAGTGCTGGCCACCATGTAGGACCATGCAGGTCTTCTGGTACTTAGTTTTACCCCCCAGACTCAGATGTTGGTTATGCCCTTCAGACCTGTGTCTCCTCGTGGTTTTTTTATCTGAAAAGTTTGGATTTAGGGAAAAACTAATCCCTGGGCAGTGCTCTGCCAGCAGGGCTAGCGCATTGAAAGGGGTCAGGAAGGGGCTGCCTGCCCTGCCTGGGGTGGGGAGATCCTCCTCACCCACATCCTTGGGTTATGTAGAAGCTTGATCTGGATTTGTTTGTACTTGGAGTTCAGCATCAGAAAATGTCATGGGAGGGCAGCAAGTGGGGAAGATGTCCTGGTTTGGGCCCTACAGGGCAACCAAGAACCAGCCCCGTGGCTGCTCAATCAGCCCTCACACAGCCCGGGATGGGGAGGACAAACCCAACCAGAAGCTCATGGGTCAAAACAAAGGACAAGGAGGGTTCTTCACTGGTTAAGGTCCCAGGCAAAACAGACTCAACTTGGGGAAAAATAATAATCTAATGTCACACTAATCAATGCCTTCAGGACACAGACACACACAGGGCAGGGCTCACACACATTGCCCCCCCCTCCCTTCTTCCCACCCAAATCCCTTTGTTCCCCATTTCTCTCCCTCCTTCCCCCCAGCAGCACAGGGGGATGGGGTTTGGAGTCGCTGCACAGGCTGGTGGTTCCTGCTGCTCCTTCCTCCTCAGGGTTCTCCTGACAGTCCTGCCCTGCTCCCCACGGGTCCCTCCCTGGCAGATCCTCCCCCAACCTCTCCTCCAGGAGCCCTTCCCACCAGGAGCTGCTCCAGCGCTGCCCGCAGAGTCACGGGGGCTTTGGGAACAGGCACCTCCCCTGGCCCGGGGGCTCCCACAGCTGCACCAGCCCAGGCCATGGGCATCAAATCCACTGGCCACAAAATCCAAGTCCACTGGCCAAATTCACCCCTCCTGGCACCTTCAGGGAATGTTCCACCACGTTTCTCCATGAGTGCAGGGGCACAGCTGCCATCTCACCATGAGCTGCAGGGAAACTTCTGCTTGGGCACCTTCTTCCCCTTCTTCCTCACCAACCCCCAGCTCTGCTCTCCCTCTCCAGCTCAGCTCTTCTCCCTTAAGTGCTTGCTCTGCTCAGCTCTTCTCTCAGTTCTTTTGTATAATGGAAGAGGCACATCTATTGTCCCTCTAGTGGCTCCTTGGCTGGTTTGGAGCAGGGGCAGCTTCTCAGCTTCTTACAGGAGCCACCCCTGGGGCCCTTCCCCCACTACCAAAAAACCCACCAACCAAGCCAGAACAGAAGGTTTCAGGAGGTGTGGGCTGGAGGAGAGCCAAGGAAATGGGGCTTGGGGCAGCATTCCCACTCGTGCTTTTCCAGGATGGCTGGGCTGGTGGTTTGCAGAGGAAATGGAAAGAACGAGGAGAGGAACAAAGGGCTTTAATGCGTTGAAGTGTTTGTTTGCCTCACGCAGGCTCCATAACGGGCCAAAATGGAACCATTACTTTCCCCTGAGGCAGAGGAGATGGGTTTTTGGGATCTTTGTGCCCAGCTGGGCCCATCAGGACCGTGTCCATCTGTCCAGCGTCCACAGACTGGCCCCATTGCCCTCCTTTCCCCATGGGAAGGGGAGTGGATGCCAGTGCTGCTGCTCCACATCCCCCTAGCTTCCCAGTGCTGTTGGTGCCTCCATTTTCATCTCCCAGCTGAGCTTGTGTCCTGGCCCCAAACTCCTCCTGGTGTTTCCACTGATGTGAAAGTTCTGTTCAGGTTGGTTTTTTCCCCCACCATTAAGTACTCAGCGCAGTACTTAGAGAGTACTTAGAGAGGTGGGAACTCATTTCTTGTTTGGTTATTGCCTTTCAAATCCAGGGGGAAGTGGGAGCACCTGAAATTTCTGGGTGCTGGTGGCTGCCCCATCCCTGGCAGTGTTGAAGGGCAGGTTGGATGGGGCTTGGAGCAACCTGGGCTGGTGGGAGGTGTCCCTGCCCATGCAGGGGGTTAGATCTGGATGATCTTTAAGGTCCCTTCCCACCCAAACTGTTCTGTGGCTCTGTGAGGGGGGGGGATGATGCAGGTGGTCCTGGGGAGCTGTGAACCTCGTGCTGCCAAATCCCCAGGGGAATCACCCGTGGATCTACCCCCTGGGCCTGACCCTCTGCCCCTCCCCCCCTCCAACCAGCAATACTTCATCCTCCTCAGCATCACGGACGGGGTGATCAGCGACATGGA